AGAGAGAGAGAGAGAGAGAGAGAGGAGCAGTTGCCGGAGTTAGAGCCGCTGGAGTGTAAATATAATTAGTTTTAGAGAGAGAAGGGATAATGAAATTGTAGAGAGAGAGAGAGAAAGAAAGTAGGACAAGGACAGCAAAAAGCCACGACAACGTCCGACCCTAATGTAGGTTACATACTATTTAAATCCCCATGATCCCACCATTCTAACTGTACGATTCCGAAATAGACGGTTTTGATTTGGCCAAACAAAATTAAAATTGTTTGTGTACTGTGCCCGCCTTTAAATCTACCGCAACACATCCCCATTCTCACCCCTCGCTAATGGCGGGAAACAAAGAGAATCGTCCGAAATTTACAGATATTTTAAGGAGTCCGATATGAACGAAATCTCGGGGATTTTGTCGGAGTGGATAATCGAAATGGGACCATCCAGGAATCGAGGTCGGAAAGATACATTTCAATTGCAGAGAGAGAGAGAGAAGAATGGAGGATTCAATTGAAGAGAGAGAAGAATGGAGGATTCAATTGAAGAGAGAGAAGAATGGAGGATTCAATTGAAGAGAGAGGGGGAGGATTAAATTGCAGTGCAGCAGAGGTTCAGAATTCAAGAGAGAGAGGTGAAGGAATCTAGTGAGAGAGAGAGAGGTGGAGGATTTAAGTGTATAAAAAAATTGGAGCTTGAGAGTGAGTACAAAAGGTCCAGCTTGATTGTTAGAGAAGAGAGAGAAATAGACCGCGTCTCCGTGTCTTCTGGCCAAACCTCTAATGGGATCGCTGCAAATACCTCTTCCCATTATCAAGGATAAAATCCTTTCAGCCCACTCTGTCAAGACACCCCCTTTCTCTCTCTACCCTCCACTAATGGTCGCTGCAAAGGACAATCCTTTCAGGTACTTCCTTCTCTCTCTATACCCCATCAAAGCTATCTATTTCTCTTATCTAAAAATCACCATAAAACCTGTCCTCTCAGGTGCTTCCTTTTCTCTCCACACAGACGGAAAGCAAAGCAAGAATGGCAAACCAGGAGCTTCAGGGTTTACTTGTCCATGGTGGAAGTTTCTCCAAAGTAAGCCAACCAGACTTCCAATGACATCTCAGTCTCTAAAGACCATTTTCAGGCCAAAGAAACCAAGTTTCCCGACAAGAATGGGCATTTCCGAGTCATTGATGACCATTTTCCGGCAGGTACGTCAGACACCCTCTTAGCAGAACATGTAGCCATGATAATGGATGGGAATTCGAGGTGGGCTAGAGAGAGAGGATTGCCTGTTTCAGCTGGTCATGAAGCCGGTGTCAGGGCATTCAGAAAAGTTGTCAAATTATCCATCAAATGAGGTATTAGGGTTCTCACCGTGTTCGCATCGTCACTGGATAACGGGCTCAGGCCCAAGGTCATGTAGCTGATCCCAATTAGTAGGAAAAAAGCTTTGATGATGATAATGCTGAAACACCTGATTTCAGTTAACTGTTTCATTCATTTTATGCAATATATTTACAACAATCAGAACAACCGATTTATGCTCATTGGTCATGTTGGTTTCTTATGAATCTGGTGTGCGTCATTCCTCTCCTTGTTAAACTATTTTAGTTGCTTTTGTTCTTGATATACAGAATTATCTTTGAAGAAACCAAAATACATCTTAGTCAGTGGAGTCGGTTTATTGATTTTAAACAGAGAAAGTATTCAACTACATATGATTGGGGATTCATCAAAGCTACCAAAGACTTTACAAAAGTTGATCTTGGAGGCAGAAGAGATCACCAAGAAGAGCACAAAGCTCAAATTGATAGTTGCTGTTAGTTATAGTGGTCGAGATGACATCGTTCAAGCTTGTCAGGGAATTGCTCACAAAGTAAAGGATGCTCTACTTGAACCAACGGACATCACTGAATCCTTAATTGATCAGGAGCTTAAAACAAATCGTGTCATTGATTTTCCTTCTCCTGATTTACTCATTCGAACCAGTGGGGAACAGAGGCTTAGTAACTTCCTGTTGTGGCAATTGGCATATACTGAGCTTTTTTTTGTGGAATCGTTTTGGCCTGATTTTGGTGAGCGTGAGTACGCAGCGGCCTTGTGTTTTTTTCAAAGTAGGCAGAGGCGATTCGGTAAAAGGGTTTTGGAAGATGACTCTTATTGGGTAGGTACTTTTATTGACACCATGGGTTCCAAACCTATGGAAAGGATGCAATATTCCATTGGAGTGTGGTATACAATGTTCTAAAGGGGCATCCGCCATCCGTTTCTGATAACAAGTGGTGGACATCTACCTTGATGGGTCATCAGGGTATTTGCAAAACTAGATTTGATCTCCATCGAAGTTCATGAGGATGAACAATGGACTTCCTTTAGAGTTCTACCACAATGAAATGTTGAAAATGCCATTCGAGGGTATGATTTTTCTTTCCAACTTTCTTGCTGAGCTTCATGGTTAAAGGTGGTCAATATCCAGCTATCAGAACATGGCAAGAAAGTGATTACTGGTGTTCTTATGCTATGCATAACCAGAGGCCATTAAAAAGGGACTCTGGTTTCTCCATATGAACAGGTTCACTTGAGCTATTTGATTCGATTATCTTTTGTTGTGGTTGTTAGTGTTACCTGCACAATTGCCCTTATGTTTTGTGTCATATGTTTAGGTATCAAGGATCGCAACCAAGACCATAGCCCTGCAGCCCTTTTGTTCAAACAACTGAGACGAGCCCAATGATTCTTAGGGTTCATGGGTCCGGTCTCGATGTTATGATACAGGCTTTGTAATGGATGGTTTTGAGGCTTAGATGCTTTTTTTAATTCAGTATAATTGGGATTGTTTTGTGATTTCTCGTTGGGTAAATTGTTTGATTTTCAATGCCTAAAAATGATATGATAGGCCATTGAATCCAATCTATCTACAACAATGGTAAAATTTGAAATCTCGATTTTCAGTTGTTTAACCTTGATTATTATGTACTAATTAAATTGCTTCATGTCTTAAATGAGTCTCTATTGGGTTGAGATAGGATTGGAAGGGAAAGGTAGTAAAATCAAGAAAATTTGGTGATAGTTGAAACATGTACTCAACCACACAAAGGTTTTTTGGACCAGGATTCGAGGTGAGGCTTTATTTTGTTTTCACGAAGCCTAGGCCTTATAGAGACCTCATCCTTTACTTAAATTCCTTTTTGTCTTAATTCTAGAAGTAAAAAAGTGTGAATGAGATCCCATTTAGATGTGGTCCCCTTCAAAAAAATGCATCCGAAAGACAAATTTAGGATCCAAAACATATCTCGAGTCATCAAAGTTCAAAATAGCTTATTTTTTAGAAGTTTAAAATCAACTTTTTTTCCAGATTTATGGTGGGTACATAGATTATCGACTCGTGAAATTTTAGATTTAAGATCCATATGTAAGATGGATTTTACAGGAGACTACATTTGAATGGCAAGGGGCGAAATTGGTAATTGCTCCTGTCTGGTCCCTCGTGGGATTTGTTGTGTATTTGATATGCAGCTTGATGGGATTTCTGAAATTGGGATAAAGTTCGATGGGATTTTCGAAAGTGGGACAAGGAGATGGACCCGATTTTGGATCCAAATTTGTAGAGATCCATGATCTACACTATGATGATCATGAATATAAAAAATACAATATGATAAAATATAAGTTCAAAACAATTTTTAAAAAAAAAATTCCGGGAATTTTTAGTTGTGGAAGTTCATCTTTATTTGTGAGTCAGCGGGCTACTGAGTTTGCTGACTCATAAAACACCCTTCCCAAGAGAATGGATGAAACTTAAGAGAATATCTGTTTGATAAATTTTCTTTAGGGAATACCCTCCTCCCAGCAATTTTCCAACCCCAGTAGACACTCACCAAAATCCCTTGTAATAGCCTCAAATTTAAAATTTTGAGACAATTAGCCCCCTCAATTACGTTTTGTTCTTTTATCAGATTTATTCTTTTTGTTTTACAAAATGTCAACCCCATTTATTAGTCATCTCCCCCACCTTCTTCTTGCCCAACCCCAATCTTATCTCCGTGGAACCCACTCTACAAATTTAGACTTGAAAAGAAAATGAATTCTTTTTTTAAAATTATGTCCTATTTTACAATTGCATCAATGTTTTTTTTAACTTGCACAATGACTAATCAAGATCTTTATTACTAATGTTAATAGATTATTATTATTTGTTCATTTACTAAAGAAATTTATCACAATAACTATATGAGATAAACTACTTAAAAATTAAAATATTGTTATTGTTGTTGCTACTGCTATTGGTATTATTATTAAAATTTGTATGTAAAGTCACGAAAAAGAAAATATATTGATGGCTAATGGATGGGGTTTGGCATTTAGTAAAACAAAAAAATGAAATCTCTATTAAAAAAAAAAAAAAGCCTCCAGAAATTTAACTAGAAGGTACAAAAGATTTTAGTGAACCCGAGGGTCTAATAAAGATGAAAATGATAGACCACATGCTGTGCATGTGTAGGCCCCACTCTCTTTATCAACATCCATTCAATGATTGGACAACCCTTAGGACTATGGATTCTCAATGGTGATCCGGAATTTATAGCTTACTCCACATTCATTACAAACACAGCAAAATTTACTCACTTAAACTTCCAAACAGAGACAAAGTTAACTGTCCCCCTGGACCTTTCAGTAATAAACTACAGAGACAATAGAAAATTTAAGGCTAACAAGAAATGTAAATCATCCCCCACATTGCTTATTGCTTAGGAGCTTTATTCTTTTTCCTCATGAAATGCTCAATTCCTTGAGAATACCTTTTGGATAGAGAGACAGAGACCCTGTCTCCTTTTGTATTTATGAAATCTCATTATCTAAAATATTCATTCTTTGGAAACTAGGATTTTATATGACAATTTATAGTTTACTATATTCCAATATTTCTGGATTTTCCTTTTTAGAATTTTAAAAATAAATCTTATCACTTTCCCATAGACCCAACACTTCAAATTCTACATAATTCAATTGCCCATAGATTAGGAGATCCAGTTTCCCACCAATGCCTGAAACTCATTCATGTCAAATCACCTAAACAGTCTCTAAAGCCCACCAAATTATCATTTCTTCATCATTCAAATTTCTCTCAAAGAAAATTTAATTACCCAAAAAAAAAAATCTCTCACAAAGCTGATGAGAACTAAAACATTTTCTCAAATTGGCCTCATTTGAGGAAATGATTTTACAAAATAAGTAAAATTTTCTTACAATATTCACAAAATAAATGATCCCCAAGATCGCCCATCGATATTTAGTAATGAAGAATGGTAAGAGAAGCAAGAATTGTGTCTCCCTAGTCCAAAAAATATCAAAAGATAAGAAGAAAGGAAAAGGGTACAAAGAGAAAATAAGAGAAAATATCAGGGGGTAAGCCTGTAAGGGTCACGAGGAAAGGCGGAAACCTTCCGAATGTCATCAAGGCCGCAGAAAAGCATAACAAGACGTTCCAAGCCGCACCCAAATCCACCATGAGCAGGCATCCCATACCTGAACTCAAAACCCAAACCACCTTGTAGAGAGAGAGAGAGAGAGAGCGCGATTGGGGTCGGGGCAGTTTGATTGTTTGAGTAAACAACAGGGGCCGCAACCGGGCTGGGTGGACCCAACCTGGGTCTGGGGCTGGGCACATGATTTGAACCTGGCAGGTCAAATCTAGGTCCAACAGATCCAGAACCGACTAGGTACAGGTCCAGCCAGGGCCTATCCGGGTTGGGTCCAGGGCTGGGTCAGACCAGACTTGGCCCAGCCGGATCATACATATATATGGCACCTGATCTGGGGCAGGACCTCGCCCTGACTGAGTAAGGTCCAGCCAGGACCTGTCCAGGTTGGGTGTGGGGCCCGGAGCCCCAGACAGAGCAGGTCGCATCCCAACCGTACAAGTTAATCCACTTGTTGCCCTAGTTTGCAACTTCATGGTTTAGTTGTGTAAAAAATAATATCCAACTGAGGTTCATCAGCTGCATTCATAAGGACCGGTGAAATTATAAAAGATGTTAGAAAGGAAGAAGTGATGGTTGTCTCACCAAAAGGAATCGAGATAATCAGAGAATGCATTCGTGTCAATTCCACATGCCTTTGCTCGGTACACCAAGAGCTGAGGAATGTGAATGCGCTGACCTCCTGAAATTATCTCCTCACCTGCAAAAAATGAAAAGACAAGCAAATACAAAATCCAGAACTGAACAAATATACTAGATTCTTTTAAGAGAGAAAACAAAGATGGACAAAGCCACATGACCTCAAAAATTCCAGAACATACAGGAGTCATTTTTCAAAAGGGTTGAAGTCTTCTTCAATGTTTATTTTTCTGTTTGAGGTTATTCCTTTACATGTTCCTCAAGCCCATTCAATCCCAATCTCATGGAACTTCTATTCTATTATGAATTGTGTGTAAGAAAGGAGATGGTGTTCCTCCTCATGAACATCTCATAAGTAATTTATAGATAGAAATGGAGCCATCCTACACCTATGTTATTGAGACACATCATATTTGCTGCCACTCTGCATGTCAACACTTCCAGACTTGGAGACATTAAAATGGTGTATGCAGCACAACACTGGAAGTTTGTTCCCAAGACTTCCTGTGCCAAGTTTATATAGTCTACTACTAGACCAACCACATTAAGTGTAATAATACGAACTTCTTATATATACATTAAAAATCTGGTCTTTTTTATAAGTCTTGTTATATTGGCTTTTTTAGTTTGGAGTTCTAGACAGTTTTGACACATATGAAACAGAATACCCCGTTTTGGTGTCCAGGTAACAAAGATCTACATGTATAGCTATCGTAACCTAAGTGAGCCCCACATCTGGGGCCCACCATCTCGTAAGTTTAATTATTTAAAGGTTACACAAATCCTGTAAACTACTCACACAATTTCAGAAGAATAATAGTTGGATCCCAATGATCCATTTACTTTCAAGACCTACAATCTGAAACTATAAATAGGGGTCCCCAGCCCCAATTCCAGAGAAACTAGGAGAAAACTCGAGGAAAAAATCCTTCAGTCACTCTCTAACAACACTAGGTCTAGATTCTGCTCAAAAAGTGAAACAAGAGTGTAGATAGAAGAATTAGCCATGTCAAAGGCGTCTATACATCACATGAACGTGAGCTGCTGATATTTCTTTCCTCCTGTTGTACTTTTGGGAACTGGATATCTTTGTTTGTCTCTACCCTGGAGTACAACTCGATAGATATTCATTTTCTTGAATGAAATGACGGTAAAACGGTGTTTTGAAACAAGCAGAGACAACCCAGGACTCGCCTGAGTTCACTCGGCTCAGGACCCTGACGAGTCCCAATCACAAAACTAGGGACTGCCCGAGTACCACCTCATTTTGGCTTTTATTTATTAATTCTTACAGCCTCAGACGAGCCTTGTTCAGACTCAGCCTAGTCAAATAGGGCAACTTGGGCTTGTGACCCCAGCGAGTCCAGATGCAAGTCTGGGTTTTAAAACACTGTCATAAATTCACCTGAAACCAAACCTGATTTGCAGCAGAGCTAGGGATTTTTCACATAATAGAAGTTTTAAAATATGTTGGGAAATACTGTTATATAAAAACAGAACCATTCCTTTCTATAAAAGCATATGCCTTCTAGTCATAATAATGGAAATGCAAGTTGCATTTCTTTTATTGGATGACTATTACCAGATACATTTCAAAAAGAAAAAGAAAAACAGAAACAACCTTACTAGCATTATAATATGGGCAGATTTCTGACTGTTGTCCTACTTGATGCAAATGTAAAGAACATTAGAAAAATCAATCGTCCAATCATGATTCAGCTCACTACTTGACTTGCCAACTTGTAGGACCAATTGGTCAAGTCAGGATTTCGCCCCTGGGCTAGCCATTCTCTAGAATGGGCTTCAAGGAGTTGGATCCTTCCCCTTAATTCAATGTTATAAATTTCTTATACAATCTCTCTAATGTAAAGTAGCAGATGATTATATCATAAAACTGTTTTACTTAAAAAACGGAAAAATCTATTGTTAGCCAAGGTGTACTAATTGATAAACTAAACTCAAATGTGCAATATAACATTCTTACCTCGCATAAACACATCAAATGATCTACCAAATGAAGTATTATCAGAACATGGCAAGGTGTAAAATGGTCGCAGAGCTAGAGGATAGCGATGAAGTATATAAAAGTCGGTATTGAACCTACATTAGCAGAAATAATTGCACAAACAGTAATCAAGAAACCAAATCCGAATAAAAAAACTGAAATTAAGAAATAAGCAAAGCTGCAAAAGTAGGAAAGAAATGCAAACTTACTTATCCCTAACAATCTGACCCAATTTTCTCTCTGTTTCTATATTTAGATCGCCCAAGAGATCTGCCTCAATGCCAGCTTCCTAGATACACATTTTTACAAAAAGCCAAAACATCAGGAGAAGTCAACATTGGTCCCTATATATAACTAGATGTTCATGGGGCAAAAATAACCTGAGCACAATTGGTTTTAAGTTTAACAATTACATACCCTGAGCATTTGAATCCCCTCCTCAAAAGTAAGTCGCAAAGTTTTCCTCAAGTACTGGGGACACCCAATAGAGTTATCGTCACAATCCAATATGATCAAAATAATGCAGAGGTAAATGGTTAAAGTGGTAGATACATCTCAATGCTGAAAAGCACTACTAAGAACACTCCCACCCCCACCCCCCCAACAAAAAAAAAAAAAATTCAACAATATGCAGAGTCTCACTGCTCCAGAAGGGTGCATCATTTGGTTGATTCGATATTGGTCATTTGGATATACTAGCCACGCATGTGCATGTACGCAGACAGTATCAGCTCCTTTTGTCCGCAGCACAAAAATCTCATTTTCTTATAGTCTTGTAGTGCTCGTCATCCATGCTGTTATAACTCAAAACCAGATTTATTCCCATTTATCTCCATAGTTTTTCATAGTTTTTCTTAATCTTATGAAGCACTATATTAGCTTATTATAAGATAGCACCCCATTTCAATAAAATTATCAACACAAAGAAAGATAAATAAGTAAACAGAAAAACATTTGGTTATGACTCCAAAATTATTAAAATGGAAAATTTAAAACTTAAAAATAGGAGCTACACCTTCAAAGGTTCAAATGGGTACTGCTCATTTATCGCAGCAAGCTCCTTTTTGCACCTCTCATTCAGTTCATCAAAAATTGAAACAAAAAGCCAGTCCACAAAATCCAGTAGCTGCATAAACAAAAAACCTTGTTAATCAACAGACCAAAGCTCTGAGATTTACCACCATACCAACAAAGGAGTTAAAGTACCTCGAAGTAGCCTTTCTCAACCTCCATCTCCACATCAAGGCTTATAAACTCACAAAGGTGCCTATGTGTATAGGAGTCCTCTGCCCTGAAAGCAGGACCAATCTCAAAAACTCGACTAAATTGCCCGGCCAACATTTGTTTGTGTAATTGTGGAGACTGTGCTAGGCATGCAGGTTGACCTTTGTATTCTAATTTGAATACAGATGAACCACCTTCACTTGCACCTGCTACCAGCTTTGGAGTATGGACCCCAATAAAACCTTTGGAAGACAAGAAATGCCTAAATACCTGGGCACAAAGCCAAATTTTTAATAAAAAAAGAAAGTACACATAACAATGACATCAGCTCAAAACTTACAAAATAAACATAAAAAAAAGAAGCAATGAAACAAGAAAACAGAAAAGTGAATCAGGAAATACCACAGGTAAGACAAGTATGGTACAAAAGGGATAATAAGACGAGACTAGAATTTATTTACAAAAAAAAGAAAAAAATCCTAGAACATCTCAGAAAGAAAATAAGTGCAGAAGTGTTAAGAGAATGTGAATTAGTGCCTGGACAGAATCATCAATAAACATTGTTGATATCAGGATTTTACTATCTCATAATTTGTATATAACTGGCATATAGGTTCTCAGGCTATCTAATAATGCCACTAATTGTACGTGATAGTGTGTATAAGGGTAGGGACATTATATTATTGTGCATTGGTTGTAACATGTAGTTAGCCCACTGTAAGGCCAAATGGAATTAGTTTTAAGCAAGGTTTAAAAAGACGGATCAGTGACTCGAATCAGTCACACCCATCCCCGTGTTGAATCGGGGAATTAGTGGATTGGATCGGAGAATCGGCAGAATCGGCAAATTTTGTCCCAAAAAAATCTTTAAAAAATCTCTAAAATAGTGTTCTTTCAGTTTCTAAAGTAATTTAGGAGTGGTGCATTATGTACTTTCATTACTTTGTAAAAATAGGTGAATACTGAGACGTCGTTTTCCTGTTTGGATGTCTGTATAATTATTAATTGTAATACAGTATTATAATATTGTATCAAAATAGTTTAAAAATATTAGAAAATACTTCTATATTATAAGATTAAAAAAATAATTTTCCATATAAAGTGAAATTAGTATCACATCAAATATTTATTAATTCTCCTTTCTCGTCCAAAATTATCACAACCTAACTAACTATAATATTATACATTAAAATTAAAATTCTTTTTACTCGTCCAAAATTATCACAACTTAACAAACTATAATATTATACATAGAAATTGGAATTAATAATTTAAATTTTATAATCATTTTACTAGACAAATAAGATTAAATTTTGAAATTTGTCTTATAATATTTTCTATTTTTAAAAAAAAATCTAATTTACAATTATAACAAAAAATAGTACATTATATAATTTATAATATAAATAAATTAATGCATAAAATATAAGATTTGGTTATCAATGTAATTAGTATAATTATTAATTGTGATATTATAATAAATGTCATTCAAAAAACAAGGGTATGACTCTAAAAAATAAATAAATCTAATATGTAGTTATTAATGTGGACAAAAATATATAATTTAGAAATATAAATTTGCAATCATAATTTAATAAATTACAAAAACAAATAAGTAAATTTATACTTGCAATGTGGGATAATTGATAAAGCAACTTGAAAATAAAATTTAAAATGGAATGAGCTAGTGTTATTTATTTCTCTTAAAATATCCCATAAATTAGACTTTTAATGGTCAATAAACTAATCTTAATATTTTTTTTTGCCTTTTAATAGCCTATGAGCAAGTAATATTTTTTATTTTTAATCCTAATTAACTAATATTAGTTATATAATCCCATGAGCCAATAAAGTTGTGAAATCTTCGAGCGAGTTTTTGCTACCATCGACGACGAAACCTTATCCCACATTGAAGAGATGTAGGAAGAAATTGGTATATCCCACATTGAAGAGATGTGGGAAGAAATTGGCCTATAAAAAAGATGCACCCGCTTTGAAATTGCATCGTGTGAAGGCAGGTTGGGACACGTCATGGTGCAAAGAGTTGTAGCTAGTTGTAATGCAAATTCTGACACTGACGTCATGGTTGGCCACCATATGTGCCTTTTAATGGAAAAGTTAAAACGTGACGATGGGGGCCACCACATGTACCTTTTAACAAGAAAAGTCCAAGAACCGGTTGGGACGGAAAGGGATCCGGCTGAATCCCATTTTATAGACAAATTCGAGACAGTCTGGACAATACCCGATCCGGATCACCCGATTCCGGATAGGGTCACCAAATTTTCACACTAATTAAAATAAAGATAACCATTTGCTATAGAAGACCACAAATTTCTAGATGCATGTAGAACACAGCTACTCTGTATAACTCTCAAATCCAATCAGGATTCTAAGCAACGTATACGTCGATTTTACACCATTGACCCTTAAGGAAAGTCATATGGCATTGTTCAAAGCCAGATGGACTGTTACTATAAGTGGCAAAGACTTCCAATAGACAAAACTAAGGATAGATTTCAAAACATAATGATACACAAAAGATACAAAATAACCTATTTATAATAATACAATTAGAAAAGCACAACATCCTCAAGACAAAGGTAAGAGCACCTGCATGCATATGCACATGTGCAAATGCCTGAGTGCACACATATATAGAAAAGAATTGATTAGTTAATTAGAAAGAAGAGTAGGGCACGGGCACAGCCTGTGCTTGCATGGCCTAAAATGTAATTAATAAGATTTTTTGGGTAGGTAATTTATGTATTAGCATACAAGAGAATGTCTCATAACTATCACCAAATAGAGATTCCTATGATTGCCACAATGAGTGACAGTTGATTAAAGATATACCATATGGAATTGGCCCCCAATTGGAAAGTAGGATAAGCTTCGATTATACGACCAAATCAATATGCAATAGAAAATATGGATTGAAATGTGCAATAAAACTTCCCATGAGAGTGATTATGTAGGAAAAGTGAGACAATGGATATACAATAGAATTCAATAAGAAAGACTTAACTATGTGAAAGAAGATCCAATGATAGATATAATATTTAGGAGACAGAATCAACAGCTATGATAGCCTCATGTGAATGGCTGGGTTTGTCTTGTAAGACGCAAACAAGACAATTAGAAGGTAGTCTAGATTAATATAGAAAAATTAGTTTAGACGACGGCTAAGACAAAGATAACATTGTTAATGTAGTCATGGCATAAGCATAACCTCCTCACTGTACTAAAGCAGAAGTGCCATTGATTCTTTAAAGTAGGTAAAATACACCGAACTTATCTAAAGAATTATGAGGTACAGAACCTTTCATAAACGACCACTTTAACTTTTATAGCTAGAGAAATGAACTACCAGTGCAATTCCACTCGTCCACATATTAATCACAAGAAACATAGAAGAAAATAAACAGTTAACTTTCAAAAAAAAAAACATAGAAGAAAATAAAAACAGTATGACCCTCCTTACCTTTCTATTTATGAATTAAAGGGTTTTGTCTTGTAAGACACACACAAGACAACTAGAAGGTAGTCTATATTAATATAGAAAAATTAGTTTAGACAAGGGCTAAGACAAAGATAGCGTTGTTAATGTAGTCATGGCATAAGCATAACCTCCTCACTGTACTAAAGCAGAAGTGCCATTGATTCTTTAAAGTAGGTAACATACACCGAACTTATCTAAAGAATTATGAGGTAGAGAACCTTTCATAAACGACCACTTTAACTTTTATGGCTAGAGAAATGAACTACCAGTGCAATTCCACTCGACCACATATTAATCACAAGAAACATATAAGAAATAAGAAAATACAAAAAAAATAAGGTGCTCCTGCCCCTAAAATATGGAAAAGGGCGCCCGGTCCAAAAGTTGTACCTTGTCTTGGGGCGCCTTTGGCTTTCTTTACGAGAGAAAGCCAACCCTTCTTACCTTTCTATTTATGAATTAAAAAAAAGGGGAAAAAATTGAATGTTTATGAAAAAATAAATATTTCAACATTAAAAGAGTTTTTTATCTTCCTTTTCCAAATTATCTGTTTTTTATTCATTTTTAAAGGGTACAGAGGCTTCCAACACAGGCTTCTCCCTTTCATGGGGTCACAGCTCCCACATGGATGGGGGAAGTAAATGCACCCCACCTGCCTATTGTACGCCAAAAAGCAAAAGCAAAAACCTTTTGAATGGAAAAAAAAAGAAACACGAAAACAAAAAAACCCATTTTTCCTCAACCCTCTACCCCCTCTACATAAACAGCAAACGAATGGGAGTGGTAAGAAGATGAAAGGGAGTAAAAGGAAATTAATCAATAAACAAAGGAAAAAAGAGAGCAAGACATCACAACACATCCTCTGCAATGGCCTAATGACGACTCACAACACATCCTTTGCCATGGCCTAATAATATCAGCCAAATGTTACTTGAATTACTCATGCTTCAAATATTATCTCCTGTGTAATACTGGTTGTTAACCTTGTTTGAATGTAAATCATCTCTCTGTTGTTGGTGATTTAATTTTAACGTAGCATTCTCTGTTAGAAACTTAGAAGTACCACTTCTTATTAGGGAATTATGAAATGCCACAGATCTTCAAAACTGTTGTTAATGTCACAGTTCACTCACTTAAGATATCACGGTCCCTAAACTGATAGAAATGTGTTCTTGAGAAAAAGGGAACACATTCTCAAGTGAAGTGAATGGTTTCCCTACACAAATCAATTCGCCAATTCAGAATAACTATCCCAACAGGGGATGGCAGCTCGAAGAGAGTCTTCCACAAATGCTTTAATGACATTTCCATTCGAAATAAAGGAAAATTAATAAGAGTTACCAGACTAAGCTGTTAAAAAACAATTACACAGACAGTTTACATTTACAATTCCTGCCATTAAGCATTGTCCTGTTTATCAAAGCCCAAACATAACAACAGTCAAACCAACATACTTCTCTTTCTTTTTTCCTTTTGTTATAGATCAACATACTTACTTCTTCGATTTGATACTTGAAGTGAAAAATTCCTTGATTAGCTGGGGTACCCAGCTCAAGAAATCTATGCTTTGGACGTGTTTCTTGAATCACACGGGCTATCTGTTCTCCAGCCTGCATTGTTGACAGCTAATTATTTTTAGGGTGGAAAAAGTAACAAACCATTCTAATGCAAACAGAAGAAAAATATTACACAAAGGATAGCACCATCCAAAACAAAGATTGCTGAAGGAAAATATCTTAACATTTAGTTCATAAACAATGTAGACCTCCCTATTAATCAACATGTAAACATTTTATCACAAATTTTCAACCGTGTCTATGATACTATAACAGCTTTAAACATCAAAGACAACATGCAACCAAGTTGAACTCATTTTTATAGATCAAAATTTGAAGCTTAAGAAACAGTCATGCCTTTCCCAGGAAAATAAAATGAAAAGTGCCTGAAAGTATGGTAGCTACAATCCTGGAGGGCTAGAAAACAACCTTTGGGAAACATATAAAACTATACCTGCTCTACACTTAAGAATTCACTTTCACTTTGAGCAGCATCCTCTAAATTAAAGGGCAAATACTGAACAGCTCTATTGACACAGTAAACTTTCTTTGCTTGAATTTCAACCTGCAAGAAAACAAAACAGTATATGTAGATAAGAGGAGGAGATAATATCTAACCTAGTAGTGGCAAAAGAAATTCCCCAGTGAAGTTCAATAAAGACGAATGATGAAATGTACAAGTTTTACTCAAGATGCCCAAATCACACATCATGTAAAATGCACGAGTTGAGAAAGTTGGAGGATTGAGCAGAACCACATACCAAGGGTGGAAGGATACATGCCGTGAAGGTTCCTAATTCATAAAGATAGAAGCAAAAAATATTATGTACAATAAAACGAATACCCTAGAGATATGAAACAATTAGCATTTTCAACAAGAAACACATTCAAACCAGTAAAATAGCAACAAGCATCTGTTTGCCCAATGAAGTTCTCAAAACAGGCAAAAATTACAAAAGAGATTATCAATCAAATGCATGCATAAAACTGTCACTCACATAAGCATCACACACACACAAGGAAATGCTTGTTGATTTAATAGTCAGGGGAGAAGCTGGCATCAAAACATGTTAAATACTACCTTAATGCATAAAAACAGTAGGAAACATATCAATGCAATGGGGTTCTAGGAATTAGAGGCATCCTGAGGGTGTATGCTTATATGGTTGCACTGGGAGATACTCTCAAAAATATGCAAGAGAAATGCATTGCTGGAAATATGGAAGAATGCACCCTGTAATTATTATCGATAAAATACTGCAAGAGACAATCCTAGGTTCTTTGTGGTCCACATTAAGAGCAACCAACAACTAACATTGATTACATATATGCAATCGGCATATCAATTCAACGAATTTGGTTCACATGCATATTAGCTCCAAACATGACATACAAGAAAACCAACCAACCAACCAACCAAATTCACCCATCCTAATTCCAACTAGAAATACAAAATCCATCCCAAATCAAATCAATTGAAACCAAATCAAATCAATAGAAACCAAATCAAACCAATGCATTCAAAATGAATAATTGAATAAATGGGGGAGAACTATACTTAATTTACCTGTTGAGAAGCACCTTTGATCAGGATCCCAGGGACCACAACTACCCCATAAACATCGACAAAAGAGTCGACACCCAATGCAGAGACATATTTAACCATCTGTTGACTTACAAAACCTTGAGTTACAGTCACCACACACTGTAGTGTATACCACTTCTCCTTCAAAATTAAGAAGACCATATTCTTACTCACTTCTCGAATGCTATGTACACGAGCTCGAACCCACACCTCTTTTCCCTTCAACTCATTGGATAAAGACTCAATTGTGGCCCTTTCATGGTCGCCCACTTTCTTCGATTCGAACTCTTCAATTGAAAGATCCCCATAATTCGAAGCAGACAGGTCCGGTGCATAAATGGGGTATCTATTTTCCAACCGAATCTTTCCTTTTACATTGTAAACATCAGTTAGAACAGCTTGAAGATTAGGATTACTTTGTTTTAAGGCATCAAGAATTTGACGGGGCTGGAAACCGGCCACATTCATTTCCTTAATTCTCAGTATTTCCTCTTCTGAAAATCTTCGACAAAATGGGTGGCTCGAAATATCTTTCCAAGGACCATGGTTGTGATCTGGATTCTTAAGCTTGAGTACCCATAACCCATCACTCTTCTTTACACCAAGCATTTGAAATGGGCAACTTATGAGGCGAGACTTCGTCTTCCTCTTTTGCAGAGAAATGTAACCATTGCTTTTGTAGGTGCCCCCTCTATCACAACCAAGAACCACTCTTCTATCCTTCTCTGATCTCTTAATGGTGATCATGTAACCTTGGGTCATGGCAAAATTCCGAACATAATTCAGGAGCTCATCTCGATACTGGAATTTCTCCTCAGGGGGTGGAAGCATTTTGTTACTATCACTGTTATTGCACTCACTGTCACTGTTATTGAACTCATCAACAACCTCATCTTGGCTTTGAACATCCATCATAGTCACAGGGTGGTGGAATCTAACTATGGGAACAAACACAGCACAGTCCTTAACTTTTGTGCGGTGACTCCTTTATGGGGCTTTTTCCAATTTTGAGAGAGAGAGATTTCGGGTTTTTGGAAATGAAGGAAGATAAGAGTAGTAGAACAGCAACCCTCCTTTCCCACGACTGAAGGATAGAGAGAGTGAGAGAGGGAACTATTGTGGGGTTTTCTCTATGGGGCTTCTTCCAGTTCAGGTAGAGAGAGAGACAGAGAGAGAGAGAGAGAGAGAGAGAGGAGGAGGAGGAGGAGGAGACGACACGAGTAAGTAACGTACTTCGTTGGTTGTAGTTACGTTACGTTAGTTACGTTGTCGTAGTTAGTAGAGTATATATATATATATATATATATATAGAGAGAGAGAGAGAGAGAGA